AACGCGCACTAACAAACATATATATGTGGGTGTGTAATAATTCACATGTATTGTCGCTGACTTATACGACAGATCACACCATCAAAATACTCACAATATAAAGGACATGTATAGTTTCTATATATAGCATATTTACAAATTATATTATATAATTCATTCTTGAGTACTTCAATATACAAAGTACAGACCACTAATGCAAGTTTAATCTACTCAAAACCCATTCCCATTAAAAAATGCGTCTTACTTTCATCCCTAAACCACTTTTTGGCTATAAAGCTCTTATCATGGATAAAAATGTAACACAAGCTTCTTACAACCCACAGATTTGATCAATACCGTAAGTGTTCTTATGGGCTAGCTCCACCTATATCATGCTTTTCTTCTTAATCCTCTTAATCCTTACGCTAACAATATTGAAATTATTCATCAACACTTTTTATTGCAGAAAACCTTAAGACAAAAAGGAGCTTAAGGGTTATGGGGAGGGGTAAGATTGTGATCCGGCGGATCGATAATTCGACAAGTAGGCAAGTGACTTTCTCAAAGCGTAGAAAGGGTTTGATTAAGAAGGCAAAGGAGTTGGCAATTTTGTGTGATGCAGAAGTAGGACTTATGATCTACTCAAGCACCGGAAAGCTATTTGAATTTTCAAGCAACAGGTTTGACCAGTATTCTTTCTTTCTCCATATATGTGTTGATCCCGTGGTTCTAGGTTACTCTGTGTGCGTCTCTGGATCCTTTGAACCAACAGAAAATGACCACTCACACTTGAATACATATTTGCAGATTCTTTATATATCTTACTGTTTGTGGAAAAATTTAGGGTAATTAATTCAATGTTATATACGGTTTTATATATTTATTTACTGCAACATAGTTTGCATGGCCTAGTGATAGAGGAGCTGCATGTTTCTGCATCTAAATAACTTCTTGATGATTAGGGATTATGAATAAATATATATGTTATTAATTTTTATTTTTAAAATATATGTAGCTGATCTCTTAGGATGTCTAGTTTGCCACTTTGAATTTATGAAGAGATTCACAAAAATTGGAGCTGAACTAGAGATTAGACTACAATGCAAGCAGTTATATAGTACCACCATTGTGTGTCAGTGTCAAAACATATATTTATATAGCTCAGAATTTTATCATGGGCTATCATGGCTTGTATCGAGCCGCCTACACTAACAAGGTGAACTTTGAATATCATCATAGGCTGCTTAGATTTGAGATATGTAAAAAGGGAAGAAGTGCTTGAACTAAGTCAAAGGTATAACAAAAACATAATAAGAGTAGGCCAAAAAGTAACTCTTAAAAGCTAGAAAGATAATCGAAAGAACATTATTGACTAGAATATAGTTAAATGTTGTTGAAGTTCCTTAATAATAATAAGTTAGATATAAAAATGGATTGCTTACCAACTGAGAGCATTTATATAACTTTGTTATCTCTTCCCCCAGCCCATCCACTGCACACCTGACCAGTTGGTTCTGGCGCCCTTCATTCTTCACTTGATAGTTGGGTTTTCTTACTTTCATTCAGATATATAACCGAAGATTCATTATCCCATTCAATGATGACTTTTTATATACTCAACTCCGGGCAACTTACCGAAGACTTGTCAATGAAAAGCGTCTTCTATAGACTATAGTTGGAGGTGGCAATTTTGGTGACAACATGATAACACTACTACTCGAAAATAATATGAAACATTCATGTTCAAGTTGATGATAATCGTGTTGTCAATCCATTTAGTGTGTATCATGTTCTTGTCATAACCCTGTTGACCTGCCTAACCCGACAATGACACGAAGACATTTGGTAATAGATCATTATATTAGGCTTGGCAACTTGTTTTGTTTAATTGTGTTCATGTCGTGTCATGTCATGTGAAATTATCCTAAACTCAAACCAATCCCGTTAACTTATCATGTCAAAATATATACATTCAATTTCATTCGCAAATTTATCGTGTCATGTCTGTGTGTTCATCTTTCTCTTGTCTATAAAATATATTTAAAAAAATTGCAAATAAGATGAAGTATAACATAAATAAATAAATAACAATAAAAATTTATATATCTACGGCATTATACAACAAATAAAAGAAACTATAATTCTTTAGCGAGTCATAAATGAAGTTGAAATTTTATGAGTCATAAATGCTATAATTATATATCTATGGCATTAATATGAAGTTGAAATTTTATCTACGGCTCCTAAACTTATATATCTACGGCATTATATATCTAGTTTAGGGAGTCATAAATGTTATAATTCTTTTTTAATTAAAATATTCATTAAATAAGACAACATTAAATTATAGAGAGTTATTAGTAGTCCATTCTCTCTCCTCATATATAGGAGCTCCTAGAGATCTTCCTATTTTAGTAGATGGATAGGGAGCATGGTTGGAGCTTGGAGGTGGGTATTCTCACTTTCTCCCTAAATTTTATCTGAGAAGGTGATTTAGGGAGTTCATTGCGGATGCTCTTAAAAATTAAATTTTAATATTACTTATGATCTTTTTTTTTTTTTTTTATACAAGGTGGGCACACTGTCAGGGGGGGAGGGGGTGGTTTGGGGTGGGGTGGGGAGGGGTTGGGGTTTCCTCCACACACACTGTCAAAGTGTCATAGAGATTCGAATTTGAGGTCATTGATCTACAAATTAAAGCCATTTTCACTGAGCTAGACCCATTGGTCTTTTCTTCTCTTTATAAAAAAAATATTACTACTTATGGCCTTTCGGTTTACTGTAAAGGTTAGGTAAAACTTACTCATCATGTTAGGTTTTAAACAGGTTAACCATGACAACCAATGTGATTTAATTTTACCTAGTCATAAATGGGTACGTAGGTGTGTCATCTCATGCTACACGTGTAATAAATCCTATGCACTTGAAAGTGCTTCCTAAGAACGCTTCTATAGTGTTTCTTTATAAAGCACTAAAAAGTGGTTCTATAACTGAAGAAACACTTTTAGCTAGCTAGCTAATTCTGCCGAATACAATGGAAAGTGTACTTTTGGTCATTTGAATTAATGCACTTTTAGATTACTAATTATAAAAGTATTCTTAAGCAGACGTGGATTTGGCCAGCTGGTTAGGATAGCGAGTTCGCCCACTTGTACTCAAGTTCGAATCCCCCTCCTCATGAGCAGCTTTAAACTATTTGTATCACATTTACTGATCATAGTATAGACTGAAGTAGATGTGACCAAATTTGTATAGATAGGTGTCATGCAAGTAAAACTCACCTCTATAAAACATATATATTGTAGTAGTAAATTACATCATTTGAATTCCAAGCCATTTGTTTTCTCTCATCATGACTCGATGTTGCAAAATAGAATTTGAGAATTGAGGCATCATTTAAGTTCATTTTTATTGTGCTGCCTATACAGAACTTCAAGGGCATTAATTTGTCTTTCTCATAGAGTGTTATTCTTTATGGCCTTAACGACCATTATATCCTCTTTTTCGAAAAGTCCTCATCAGGACAATCTGACCACTTCATGCCCTTCCACCAGCATGAAATCAGTGATAGAGAGATACAACAAATCAAAGGAGGGGCATGAACAACTTAAACCAGCATCAGAAATGAAGGTCTTTCCATCTACCTCTCTCTAATTTAATTCTTCTGCATTATTCAAGCATGTTGTTGTTTACATTGAAGTTTATTGTTTCATCATGTTTGACCTTGAAATAAAACAATAGTAATGCTAATAATTCCACATTGCAAGAATCAGATTTCTTTTTCTTTCTTCCCAGCTTTATTTGAGTATAATAGATATCAGGTAAGCCTTCTCTTCAGGCTTTACATCAACCTCAAGATAGGAGATTAAAAAGGATGAAAATCATAGTGAACTTCCTTCATAGTGAAAAGGGATGAAAAAACCTGACAGTTTTGAGCAGAGAACACACATAGTCCTAGTTTATAACATACCATTATGCAAAGATTGCAGTTCTGCTTCGAATTCAGGGTTTACGGCTATAGTATCTGCATACAAATGAAATGCGTGTACGTATAGTATCTGTTTCAACATGTAGAAAGTATCACTCTGCAATAATAAACCTCTTATGTTTCCAAGAAGAAGAAAAAAAAACTAATACATCTTTGTCTTATACCTTCTAGGCACTCAGTTATCATCTCTACTCAAGTATTGTTAGGTTTTAATGCAAAAAAGATATCCAACTCCCAAACAGTTGCTTGTATTGCTACCAATAAGAACGTAACTAACAAAGAAAAAGTATTACAATATTCTGTGGTCCTGCTTTTTCAAGTCAGACGAACTATTTTTTAATGGAATTGTGCCAATATGTGGATATTGAGAGGCTATAGTTTTGTCTTGATATATATTCAATTCCTATAGGCTACCAATTCTACATAAGAAAAGCTTACTTTCACACCACCATCAGGCGAAGCTAATTAAACATTACTGATCAACTTCCTTGGCACTGATCAAGTATAGTTGTTAGTTAAACCAGGTTGTGATCAAGTAAATTCTCCTGGTTGCTATCTTCCAAGAATAAACTTCTAGATCAGCCTTCAGATCCTTGTTTTCCATGATCACCGTCTTCAATTGTTAATATTTTCCATTATCGCCTGAACTGGGAAATGTAATGATGAAGATGATGATGTATAAGATTTTACAAAGCGTTCACACCAACCTCAGAGGGATGAGATTGAGCCTTAGTTTTACCAGTACTGGTATTCCAAATGAATTTAGTTAGTATATTTTCAGCTGCCAAGGATGTGAACAACATGTAATCTTCTAAACAAAGTCCTGATGGTGGTATGATGTGTTGACATAATAACTCCATTATAAGATGGTTCGTTTGTCTTGACTAAGAAGTGCTGCTAGAATATGTTGAACTAAACAAAATTGTACACATGCTGCAAGAAACTAATTTTCTTGACAAACGTGCAGCATGTGATGAATCACTCAAGGGAAAAAGGTTTAAAAACTCTGACAAATTGAAAGATTTCGATGAACATGGCTAGACAAATTTATGATGCTATGCAACCAGAGGGAGTTGGATATGAAGTACACTACATTACTACCTACCCCAAATACAATCAGATTAGTAGATATCGAAAATTCAACCACCTCATGTATTTCTATAATGACATGTTTCTGACATATTATTGAAAGATCTTGGTCTCTGTTTGATCATATGGACTGATTCAATTCTCCGAAGTTGCATGTGCATTTTATTTGTGTGTTATTTTACTTGCTAGTTTTGGCAAAGGGAGGTAGCCAACTTAAGGCAACAACTGCAGAGCTTGAAAGAACAGCATCGGTACAATCTTTCTCCTTCAGTTTTAAATTGAACAATTTTGTTTGAGCACACAAACACTCAAATAATGATGGCTGCAAGTAAGGTACCATTTAATGGATAGTAGTGCTCATAATATGCTTCATAGAATCCTTTACAATGTCCAAACAGGTATGATATCTAATTATATGTATCTACCATATATAATCCAAACTGTATATATAGCAAAGGTAGCAAATCAGAAATGGCTTCGCACATCCCACCGAACGCAACACTAATAGTAATAGACAATAGATTGTGAAAGTATATCAAACACCTGATGATAATCTGCATTCTGGTATGACAGGCAGTACATGGGAGAACAGCTTTGTGGCTTGAGTGTCAAAGAACTGAAGGGTCTAGAAAGTCAATTAGAAATGAGTCTGCAGGGTATTCGTATGCAAAAGGTCAGATCAAATGCTTTAATTTGTGTATAATCTCATTTCCTGCTTATATCTATTGATTTTGGTAGAAGTTTGACAAATAACAAGCATTGAAATTGCAGGAACAAATATTAACTGATGAAATAGAAGAGCTCAATGAAAAGGTCTTTCCAGAAACACATAATTACTCATTCCTTGTTACACATTCCACCTAAGAGTTAATTCAATTTCAACCATCATAGCATTTTCTTATTTCTCTGATCCATGCAGAGCAATCTTGTTCATCAACAAAACATGGAACTCTTTAACAAGGTAAGTCAAGAAAAAATGGAATTACTCAAGCAGGTATTCTGATCTATAACTACAACATGTAATAAAACATCATAAAAACATCACTAATTGACTTCACATGTATCAGGTTTATGGCACAACTGCTGTGAATTCAGAGAGCAGAAATGCCTGCATTCCCTATGGCATGAGCATAAGTGATGATTCGCATGTCCTGAACCAGCTTCAGCTGCGCCGGCCCAACCAACAAACTTAACATACACCACAAAGAGCAATCAAAACGGGTAAAATTCTCATTCACATTCTTTAATTGAGAAAAATAAACCTCCACTATGTAACATTTTCATCTAAAATGTGCTGATCAAAATGCAGCAGCAGTCTATATATCAAAGAAGTATCTGAGGATCGTGGACAAATGTTAGCAGACTTGCCCTAAACAAAATACCTTACAACCCAAGTGTATAATGTATAACTTTTTTTTTCTTCTTTTCGCTGGAGAGCATAGATTCTTAAAAGTTCTAGCTAAGTTGCTTCTGTGCTCTGGTGGGATTGTCTTGTTTTTTTCTTCTTCTTTTTATCGGCCTGTTGGGCTTGCCTATTATGGCTGTTTTCATTGTTGGGTTTTTCCTCCCCGGGGTTTTTGTGTTCTTCATGGGCTTTGATGGCCCTGTAAAAACTTTCCTTTGTATAATAAAATTTCTATTTACTTTGCAATCCAAAATAAATATAAATAAAAATAAAAATTGTTTAACAAAAAGGAAGTTAAAAGCAATTGAGGTTAGAGTCCTAGACATCAAAAATAGTTAAATATATATTTTGTTCATGAAGATTCTCAGCTCTCGATGATATTTCAAGATGACGGACAACAGTTGTAGGGGATTTCACTAAATTTGTCCTCTAATTTCCAGGATCAAGCAATAATTACAAGGATTAAGAGTATTTATCTCTGCACCCGAGGTCTTAACTTCGATTACCCCTTCCTAATATCACTTATATAAAAAATAAATAAAAAAATAAAAAAAATGAAGATCAACATAGAGCACACACAGAAAGAAAAATCAATATTAAATCCAGATAATCCATTTAATTTTATAACTGATAATACTCTATTTTTTTTATTTACTAACACTGTTGAATTAGTAGAAAAATCAATGTGACATAAATGTAAATTTAGATATGTTTTTTTTCTCTGCTACTCCCATCTCATTTGAGAGCTCTTCCTTCAAGCCTTTATTCCGGTGGTCCGATTGGGGTCGTTATGTCGTCGATATGCCGTACGACATCAGGCCCTCATGGTTTTCTTTAGTCCTTTTAAATTGATCGAGTCCATGTAAGTATAAAATATTTAATATGACACCTATATTTGCCACGTTATCATTTGACAAAAATATTAACATATTCTTTTATCTATGTGCAAATGTGTAGATTTTTCATCAATTTACCAATTTAAATTGACCTCAAAGTTTGAGGGGTTGTATATAATTAACCCTTTTTTCGATGAAATTACTCTATTTAGAAATCTTAATTTTTTTACATTCATATATAATTTATAAAACTTACTTAGAAATGTGATTAATTAACCAAAATAGGTTTTATCCATGGAAGTGAATTAGACTTTTAAGTTAATTCTAACACATTTCTCCGCTCACCCTCATCCCTTAGGCTATTCGCAAAGACTTAACGAACATACGAAATTAATGTTGTAATAAGCAAATATTTTACTTCAAAAACCATCCTTCTTTTTGTTCTTTGTGGGATTTCTCTTGCTTCAATTTGTGATCATATTGTGTGGAACATTGTTACTTATTGTGTAAAAACCGTGCATTGTTGAAGTAACATATATACTAAGGTAGATCCAGTTTAACACAATAAGACTTCTTTCTGATCTTAGAAATTTGTAATGAATCTCAATAGTGCTACCTGCCATGTGCTCAAAATACATACTAATTTTTAGTAGATCCATATTAAAGCTATGCACTTGTCTTCTTATTGAAATTTTGTTACGAGATTAATACGGGATATGAATACGGTTAGAACAGTGTACAGACGCCACTCACATCCCGAATTAATCTCACAACATACATCCATCCTGCATTACAGAAAACCTCCTCACGATTGAGCATCAGAAATTGAAAAAGGAAAACAGAAGATTCAAATTTGCATATATATATATATGCTTAAACATATGGATCTGAAATATTTACAATGATTAATAAAAAATATGTACTTACTTACACATCTAGCTAGTGCAGCTAGACACAACATCACTCATGTGAGCGATCCCATCTCACATCATGAAACATGGCTTGAATATGTCGTCTATTTGCTTGTTCCTGCAAGTGACACCCCTCATCAAAATTCTGGGAATAGCTGACTGCATCATACTGAAACGAGGTAGTTTTGGACCCATACATGTTTCTGCTTCTGCCCCTATCACTCAGCAACCTCCGCAGCAAGTTTCGCCATCGCGGGCTTCTCTTGCTGCGGCCGGAGCTGTGGAGGCGAGTGTACTCCATTTCCCCCTGCACTGGAAAGCATGAAGGGGACATCATGCACCTGGAAAAGTTAGGGGATCTCCTGTGATGTTCAATAACATCATCTCTCTCCATTATAATTAAGGCAAGGATATGTTGGCTCTCTCTCTCTCTCTCTCTCTCTCTCTTTATAGGTATTAATAATGATAAGCATGGTGGATGCAGAATTGTATTCTTATTGTAATTGCACCAGTCTTGTGGGCCTCAAGCATGGTTTCAGATTGAAAATGATGGCACAGACAAAAATCACATGCACGCAAAGCATATTTTCACACCAACTCTCTCCTTCCTAGCTACAGAATATATCGTTTGTTGACTGGTTATTTTAAGTATATTATATGTGTTCGTAAAGAGTAGGGTTGTTTTGTTTGTTACTATCAACCAAAATTTTCAGCCCTTTCGAAATTGGAGTTTTATCATCTTAAAGAACCTTCCAAAAACTTCGAGGCGCTATTAGATAAGTCCGGATATCTTTCCTTTTGAGTTGTTTAGTTAGATCTATTGACATGCTTAGGCTCATTTTATGCATCAATTGTTCCTAATTTTAATTTTAATGGAAACAAATTGAAACTCTCTCTCCCATTTTATGCATCATTTGCTCCTAAATGAAATTTGGTTGGAACCAAATTAAAAGATATGCAAACAGTACGTATGAAAACTACAAGACAGCTCCAAATCATGAGATAAAACTAAAAAATACCAAACTCATAAGTCAGGTATCTAAACCAATATTCCGCTTTTACAAGTCCTAATATTTTTTAATCAATTGGGGAGGGGAGGGGAGGGGAGGCAGACTTTTGCAAGGGTGAGAAGAGATAGTGGGATCCATTATTTATAGGCCACGAACACTCTTTATCGTGGCAGAAAATTAATGGCAACACCTACTTCGACCACAGTCACGTGATCTGTGTCCAATTCATAACTAACACTCGTTGGCCACGGATAATTTGCAGCTAACATAAATACGTGTCACCAGTGTATCTGTGACATATAGTGAAGTTTTCTAGTGGTGATTAGTCTTACACGCATCCTATTTGTGTGATAATTGTTATTAGTCTGTAGGAACTTCTGTGATTGTTTATTATATAACATTAAAGATGGAGAGAATCTCCACCACTGATTTTGATTGATTGAAACAGCTTGGTTGTAAACTTGATCCTGTTATAATATGTTAAAGCCCTTATAACAAAATGCTTGACACATATTTTATGTATTAAAGGCACACAAGCTAATAAACTCATGTGCATTTGATAGGGGGACGGGTGGGGTCTCCCACAAGTATAGGTCCCTTCTCCTTCAGGATGGAGGGTGGATCCCGCATCCTATTACCTTCACAGAAGAGCTAATCTCGCATAATTCTCTATTATTTCTAATAAATAAATAAACTCCTTTAGTAAGTTTCTATAAATCAAGGGTATCAAGGGATGTAATGAGAGCAAATGTGAGTGGAAGAAAAATAAACAGAAAGAGCCAAGAAAGCACATAATTGATTTTCTCCAATGATTAATTCGTAGACATATTGAATGAAATGCCATGAACTAAAATGATGCAAAAAAATTATAAAATGGGAATTCCTGACAGCCATGAAAATGTTGTAAGAGAAATAATTATCCACTCGATTTAAGCATGTGATTGCGGGACAAGACAACAAGACACCAACACATCAACCAGCCCCACCAAAACTTGTGGGGACTTGCTAATTGTCGTGTTTCTGTAATTTGTAAGGGAAGAGATAAACTGATGATGAAGAGATAGCAGAGGACAGTAGTGTCATGTAGGCAAATACTAGAGTCTCTCGGATCTAGTGTCCCTGTTTTTTTTCTTAATCTCTCTTGTTCTTTTCCCCTCCTTGGATTCCTTTATATTTTCACACTCAAGCTTGAACAATGTGATTGTTATTTACTTCCACGTATTTATCGAGTAGCTATTCAGAAATAGTCATTATACATTGACTTGAGTAATTGTCATTTCAGTTATCTATGCACTCGAGATCTTGTGTTCAAATCTCTCATCTCTAATATCGCTCGTATAAAAAATTAAACTCATACTATTTTGTCAAACAAATCAAATATTCGAGGCCAAGATCTAGAGCGCACATGTCGTGAAGAGTATGGACCCAGACAAGGATAATGCTTGTGCTGTTGTTGCAGATGGACAGGATTGAATTTAGCGTAGAAGCAGCGATTGTCCTACTCCAAAACACACGTCATCAAAATATTATATATATGTAAAATGGCGTAATCTAGCAACAAGCTGGAATAGCTCAGTTGGCTAGAGCGTGTGGCTGTTAACCACAAGGTCGGAGGTTCGAGCCCTCCTTCTAGCGATTTTCCCTTTTTCTTTTCCATCATTATTTTGATCTTGGGTCAAGCCCAAGCCCACCCTATTGGGTCTGAATTACTTAAAATTTTATTTATTTATTGGAGACTCTTTTTTGGTCGAAATATTTATTGGAGAATTGAAGTGTGATTTTGTGGACACCCAAATATTGTCTTTGGAGGCTCATATTTTATTCTTTTAATTACAAAGTATATCCCTTTTGTAAAATGAAATAAATTTTTTTTTAAACTACATGATCTCTATAAAAATTTACGAATTTGTTTGGACAGCCACACCTCACACTAATAACACCAACACCTCCCCTGGCTCCCTCAACCTTTAATCACACCATCAACACCCATTATCTCTCTAAGAGTACTTTTATCCATTTGTTATGACAAAGGGCAAGGGTAAGGTAAGGATTGTTACTATTTATGTAAATAGTGACAGCCCTTGCAAAAGGCTTGTTGTATTTCCACCCATTATCATGACAAATGACAAATACTATTCACTTGTATTATCATGGCAAATGACAAATACTATTCACTTGTATTTATTATTATTATTATTATTATTATTATACTTAAACAATTAATTTGGATAAAATTTTCGAATAAGATTTTCGGTTATTACGTGTCAATATTTATTATAAAATTTATATCTCATATTTCAAATAAATTTTTCGGATACAATTTAAGGATAAAATTTTCGAATAAGATTTATAGTTGCCATGTGTCCATATTTATTATAAAATTCACATCTCAATTTTCGAATAAGATTTTCAGTTGCCACATGTCGATATTTATTATAAAATACAAATATCATATTTCAGATAAGATTTTCACATTCTAAAATTGTGTCATGTGTTAACTCTATCTTCTAAATCCCTCTATAAAACTAAAGCCTCAACTCAAACCTCTCACACCATATCCTCTCTATCATTTTAGATTTCATAGTCCACTCTCAATGTCTTAGATGAGAATGTGCTTGGAGAGGCAAGAGTTATGTCAAGCCCCAACCCACGGATTTACCAAAATCTTGGGTTAAGACGTGATTCACACATTAATTATAAAATTTAATAAAAACTATAACCAAAATGTGAAGAAAACATTTAAATAAATAAAATAAATATTTCACATAAAATATTCAGCGGAAACACAGAAACGACAACATCTGAAAACCGCAAAAATTTTACATTATTTTACAAGTTGGAACTACTCGAGAGTTCACTAAAAAAGTAGTTCATTATTCAACCACAAGCTATAATACATTATATAGACATGCCAAAATCATCACAAGCTTTAGATTTCAGGTTCGGTACCTGCAAAATCTATTAGGGGGTGAGCGAAACCACAGCTCAATAGGGACATAAACCTTTTCACAATAAATTGATATAATTAAATTAAGTGACAAATAATCAAGCAGCCAAATTTCACATTTATTAGTAATAATGCATGAATACTCTTCATCTAATCTCGTTAATTCATATAACTTGACAAGCAGACATGCACGTCCCATACCATGCTTATACCACTTGGTCTCGAATGCCCATTTATATGAACTAACACTCATTTCAATCATCCCATAATTTTCCTTTTGTTAGTCATCTTGTCTAACTCCCTTTCGCCAGTCTCGAATCACCCAATAAAAACCATGTGCACTGTAGGATCCCTGAGACCTGGTACTTGCCAAGAGTTAGACTCAACTACACAAAAGACCATTCTCATTACTCTCTTTTCCACCATTATTTTCTCAACCCAAGAACTCCAAATAATTTCCATGACATTATATAGTTCTTCTGTTAAAAAAAACAATGTAATAATTCAAATATCACCAATGTACATATAATCATTCTCACATTGTTCAAACAGTTAAGAGTACGTAAATATCCAATACAAGGAACGTAAATCAATAGTAATATCACACATAATATAGAGCTCACGAAATTTAATTAGATCAATCCCTACAAAAAGCCCTCCAAGAAACCCCTACCTCGTTTCCAAAGCTAGTTCCAAGTTAAGAAAACACAAGCTCCGACCTCTAACTCTTCCAAGATTATTATCACCACTCTCTCTTTCTTTTTCTCTCCTAATTCCTCTCACATTTCTTTCTTGTTTTTTTTCTCTTATTTCAAACCTAAAAGGTCCTATTTATACAAGCATAAGTCGGCAACCACAAAGATCCTATTGGATGATTGTTTGGCGGTTTTAAATGAGATATGCATGGAAAACCTTATATAATATAAACTAATATTAATCCTATCACAAAAGTAGATTAAGTAACTAGAAATTTGACACATCAACCCTAAGAGATAAATGATATATGCATGTGCTCCAGCTCAAGGTAAATAGTGGCATGAATTTGACGTCAACTCCCTTATGAAGCCACCTATTGCCAAGCAAAAGATAACTCTAACACCTCATCCAACTAACTCCAACTCATATTAATTTTTACCTGTAGTTGAATGTTTCCATTTCACTATACAGATTGATGCCACGTTTTCTAGTTTAAAATAATTATAATTATAAGCTAGGAAGATATATATATATATATTAAATACAGATCTTCACAAGTTAGAAATGAAAGAAAGAAGGTGCAGACAAGTTGAAGAAGAAAGGGAGGAGGAAGAAGATGATGAACAAGTTGCCATGGCAGTGAGTATGCTCGATCTATCAAGTCAAGGCAGCCACTGTGGTTCACAAGTCGGCCGTGGCCTGTACGTGGACAAATGTAGGCAGTCTCGGGGAAAAAATCTTTTAGAAGATTACTTTATCCAAAATTCGTTGTACTCTATTGTTGATTTTTTAGGGCGATATAGAATGCAACCCTATTTGTTCAATAAAATCATGCAAGATGTTTGCAATTACGACGCATACTTCGTTCAGAAGTGTGATGCTACTGGGATTTTGGGGCTTTTTCTGGAGCAAAAGCTTACAGCTTCTTTATGGATGCTAGCATTTGTCACATTTGCAAATCAGGTGGATGAGATTGCTAGGATGCGAAAATCCATTATCCTAGAAAGCTTGGTCACATTCTGTGATGCAATCGAAACTCTCTATATGAGGGATTACCTTTGCAAACCTACATCTATAAACCTCCAAAGGCTTCTACAAAAAGCTAAGAGTCAAGGTTTCCCAAGCATGATTGGAAGCATCGACTGTATGCACTGACAATGGAAAAATTGCCCAACTGCTTAGCAAGGAGATTATGGGAATAGGAAGGGTAAAAAAAGTATCATTTTGGAAGTCGTTGCATCATTCGATAAATGGGCTTGGCATACCTTTTTTGGAGTTGCGGGATCTCAAAACGACCTCAACATGATCGGTCAATTCTCTGTGTTCAACGATGTGTTGAGAGGACAAGCCCCTCAGATCACTTATAAAATGAACAATACAGTCTACTATGGTAGGTACTACCTAATGCTAGGCTTAGTCTGGGTTGGTTCAGTTTTGGGTCCAACCTGAACACAGAACCATAGGTCTTAGTGTGACTATTATTGAAACCGAAAACCATAGCCAGTGTAAACCAGTCACTCCGGTTAACCGGACTTGTTGGTTTGGTTTGGTTCAATTTGGGTTTTTGGGATTTCTTATAAATTGGCCCAAATTTCACAAAAAATACATTTCTAAGTCCAATTCAAAGCATATAAGGCTACACATGAATTTCGAAGCATCTTTTAACATCAAACTTCATTTTAACAAATTATAATCCATGACACATCAATTTAACAAATTACAATCCATCATCAACAAATGATGAACATCAAACATGAAACACCAATTTAACAAATTCAAACCATATTGAAAGAGAGATAATAGTATATTACTAATTACAACAATAAACCATCAAAGCAACAACATCAGAAATTAGAATTACAAACTTGCAGCAGCAGCTGCTACCATGTTGTTTCTTCAATCAATCTGTGGGAATGAGAGTGTCACTAGGAGGTTGTCCATTTGAATGAAATAATTCAACTTATGCAAGAACATTAAAACATAAGAAAAGTTAATGTTTAGAAAGTTAAAACACACAAATTAAAATGAAAACAATACCAAACAAAAACCATTACCTTTTTCCAGTTTCTCCAAAGTTAGGTACAACACCAATCCATCTTCAGTGGGCTCTTTGTTGAAGTCACAACTCTCACTTCTCAACCAATCATTTCTGCAAATAAGCGCTTCAATAGTTTTGAGAGTCAAACAAGCCCGAAAAGTATCCATAACCCTTTTTCCAGCACTAAATGTAGATTCTGAAGGCACACTTGAAACATGAACAGCAAATATATCTTTTGCAACCTTAGACATGATTGGAAACCTTGGAAAGTATTCTTCCCACCAACCCAACAAATTGAACCCCACATTTTTTAGATTATCAGCAAGCTCCAATAAGTAGTTATCAACTTCATTCCCAATTTGTATTGTATCTTATCTTTTCTTGATCTCATAAATTGCTTTAGAATTGGATCACTCTCAACACTTTGATCTGACCCATTTTCCGTGATTTCTTCCACATAAGAGTGGGCAAGAGATGTGTTCTCTTTCTTGTACTTTTCATACAAGGGCATTAAAAGCTTCTTCACCTCAACTATCTTCTTATCAACCTTGGATTCGTCTACTTCCAAAAAAGGAAGGCTAACTACACATAGTCAATTTTGTACCTCGGATCAAGAACTACAACCAATATTACAAGCTGGTTCGCACCCCCAATTTGTCCCCAATACTTGTCATACTAGTTTTTCATTGAAGTTGCTACTCTTTTCATAAAAAAGTCCCGGCTCTGCATCATTCCATTCAACTCATTAACAATTTTAGCCATCTTATGAAAGGTTGTATTGGTAGTGACCATCTTAGAAGCACTAAACTTTAATGTTGCCTAATAAAATCTTTTCAAGAAAGTAACAAAGGCCCTTACATAATGTCAATCCCCCACTATTAGAGTTCTCACCCTTGTCCTCGAGCTTGCTTCCCATCCAAACTTCTTTTCTTTTGTTTTGGCATTTCATCCTTGTCAACTTCATTAAAGTAAGCTTCAAAGTTAGAGTCCTCCAATGCCACCATATCAAAACCTTTTTACAACTTCAAGGAAGCATCTAATATTAAGTATGTGGAATTCGACCTTGTTTTTCATTCCAAATGTAGTAAACCTTTGCTATCAATCATGGCAAAAAACAAACATTGCCTAAACTTTCCTAATCAGGATGGTGATGATCTTGTATACCTACAAGTTTTGCGAATACTCTTAATTGAGTCATACAATTCAAACACCCCTTCAAAGACAATCAAGTTGTTTATATGAGCACAACACCTCATATATAACATTTTCCAATCCCACAAAAGTGTGTTCCAATCACTTAATTGGCTTTTAATATACTTAACAGCACCATCATTAGCACTTGCATTGTCAACCGTGATATAAACACCTTTTCTATTCCCCAATCCGCCAAACACTTCTCTATTAGTCTCCCAATGGCTTCACCCTTGTGGTTTGAAATTTGACAAAAGTTTAGGATTCTTTTATGCAAATTTCAACTATCATCAATGAAATGGGCAATGAGAGCCATATCATTCACATTTTAAATAGAAGTCCAAGTGTCGGTAGTAAGAGACACTCTTTTACACTCAAGGTACTCTTTAATTTGGTATTTTCCTCTTCAAAGATTGACCACACATCTCTAGCAATGGTCATACGAGACGATGGATCAAATCTGGGTTGTGCCCTTCTCATAAAGTACTTAAACCCTAACCCTTCAAGAAATTTAAAAGGCAACTAATCAATTATTATCATCTTTGCACAAGCATTTCTAGTTCTCTCCTTGCTAAATGCATGTGCAACTAGACCTCCCTTATTCTCAAATGAAAGAACTTTTTGTTTATTATCCTCTTTCAATGGAGAACACCCCTTGCATTGGACATTCCAATGTTGCATTAAAGTAGATGTGCCATTTCTAGTAGGATCACATGCATAAGATGAATGACGGTAGTTGCAAGAAGTCCTAAGCCCTACATCACTACCCATTTGAACTGGTTCCTTAGTAAAATGATTCCAAACCTCAGATGATTTCCTAACAGGTTATCTCTTAGGAAGAAGTGGGGGGAGTGGGGGGAGTAGGACATTAGGTGATTCTCCGTCTACTGGTTGTGGATCATCAGGAGGAGTCTCACTTGGGGTAAGGGGTGTGTTAATGGTAGGAGTTTGAGACCTACCTTCCACACTGGATGAAACTTTAAGGGCTACAACAAAAACTAACCTATCCCACAACTAAACACTCAACACAACAACAATAACAAGGTGTCAATTCAACAAGCAGCAGCAGTAGCAAGGATTCAACTAAAGTTACTAAACACAGTGGTAATAGCTACACTAACCTTTAAGCAAGCACATCAAAGAAATCCAATTCCTTCCCCAAATGTGCAGCACACTACCTCATTGTAGTTAACATTTACATAAAATTTATACCAACATTAGAAAATATTTATATAACATTCTTATATATAATTGAACCAAAAAACTAGAAAAACAAAATCAAAAAATTACAAAAATTAGAAAACAAATTGGAGTTAGAAAAAATTTAGATAACATTCTTATATATAACCCAAAAACTAGAAAAACCAAAACCAAGAAATTTGTTGCAAAAATCAGAATACAGATTTGAGTTATAAAAAATTACCTCATTGCAAAATGAGAGATGACAATTGAGAGATTAAAGATGACAGGTGATGGCGATGGAAGAGGCGACAACGATGAAGAGGCGACGGTGAGGGAAAGGTGACGGTGAGGCAGATGTGGAGAAATTTTAGGGAAGGAAAAGGATGAGTCGCAGTCGCTGGGGGAAAGAGGCGGAGAATTCTAGGCTAATTGAGTCGAGCTCAAGAGATTAGAGTGACTGGGGGAAGGAATTCTATGTGATGTGGTCTATAGGTTCTACACCAATAATGAATAGAAGCATGACACGTGTACAATTGCTATAGTAACTATCCGGTTTGATTAAATTGGTAGTTTTGAATCTCAGACATTAGGACGGAACCATATATCTCTGGTTTGGTTCGGTTTCACATTGTTGACCAAACAAAAATTGAAAAAAACCCAAACTAACCCGCATCGTCGATTCGATTCGACTGGTTTTACATGGTTTTTAGTTTGGATGCCCAGCCCTAATACTATCTAGCAGATGGAATCTAATCGAGGTGGACGATATTTGTCAAAACAATTCTGCATCCTTAATCGGAGAAGGAAAAATCATTTGTTGCATATCAAGAGGGTTATAAGAAATATGTTGAAAGGTGTTTTGGTATCCTCTAAGCTAGGTGGACAATCATTACGGGGGCTGCTTATATGTTTGATGAAGAGGTGCTTAGAAGCATTATGATGACGTGCATCATTCTCCATAACATGATTGTGAAGGATAAGTATGATTATGATGCTCCAGAGGTGTTCGACCTGATCCCATGAACATGGCATTGACAAGAATTTATGAACAGCACACATGAGCAAATGGACAACCATTGGAGCACGAACCGTTGGTTAGGGATGGTCGTTACAACAACCGTATGATTGATCGCTATACGGAGATGCAATCTTCTTATATTCATTAATGACGTCAAGTTGATTTGATGGATCACTTATGAGCGGTGAGAGGCAATGGCAATCAATGAAGTCAAGTGAAGATACTTAGTTTTTAATTATGCTTTGTGTTGATGTATGCGTTGTTTGAATTTTTCTTTATTTATGTTTTGTTTTGAATTATACTTTGGTTGTGTTTTGTTTTGAATTATGCTTTGGTTGTGTTTTGTAATGAATAATGCTTTCTTTGTGTTTTGATGTATGCAATGTGTTAAATAAATAACTATATTATTGAATACTTTCTTTATTCAATAAAAGAAAAGCAATACAACTAATTAAATAAAGGACAAGAAATACAACTCATTAAATAAAAGACAAGCAATACAACTAATTAAATAAAAGAAAAGCAATACAACTAATTAAATAAAAGACAAGAAATACAACTAATTAAATAAAAGACAAGCAATACAACCTAATGGTTTTCATCATTTAACCAATCGGTGTTACTAGGTCCATCGTCATGGAAAAGCATTCTTCTCATAACATCCATTTGTTCTAACTTCCAAAATGACTTTGTTTCATGGGACATATGGCTCGTATCCATTGCTATGGTTTTCCGATCCTTCTTTTCCATGTCTTGTTTGCGTGCATACTCCCTTTCTCTTGCAAATTCCTCATACATTGAATTCTCATCCACATCTTTTTTCATGTCTCTCTCAATTCTCATTGTGCCGTTTAGAGCAATTTGCTCCAAAATTTTTGCAGTATCATTGGTGGAATTACTCCCTCTCTTAGCCTTCACCACCTTTTTCCCAATAGGCCTCGGCTCCTTTTGGATTGGTGAGTCTTGATTCATCAGGGAATTCAAAGGTGAATCTGATGTCGTTGAATCGTAGAGCGGCATCTCATTCAACACAACGGTCGGACCAGTAGGAATAATTTTGAATCTCAATCAATTTTTTGTAAGTTATATTGTATTCAAAATAATCTTGAACCAATTTAGCACTTAAACCACACCTTAACACAAATTTGACAATTAAACAATAGAACAAGTAGAGATAAGACTTACTTGAATTAGTCATAATCAAATATACAAGATGATCTTCTCCTCTCAGTATTCCAAAATGTCAAGGCTTTCAATAGGGCAAGCATACAGAATATGAACGTGTAAATATGAGAGCAGAGACCAAGCCTTTTATACAAGTTGCTTTACAACTGACTCTCCTATTAAGAGACAACTGCTAGCCAAAACGTGGAGATAATGGATGATATCCACCTCCTATAACAGTTATTCCATTTAATCATTATCTGAATAAAAGTCTCATAATATCTTAATTTAAATATAACTCTATTTATTATTTATATGACACCTCATAATAATGAAAAGGCAAACTCACAAAATATATGGAAAAACTTACATTTTTCACCACCTCCCAACATTGGTGATTGTTGAAAGATTTTTTGTCTTGGGCAATGGCACTGAACCACATTTGTACTTGCATAATCTATTAAAAAAATATTGTAAATGGAAGAAAAATTGAAAAAAAAAGGACATTAAATTTAATAAAATGGCAATTAAAAATAATTTACCTCATTGCCAGGGCATCTCTCCATTTCCCCAACTCTCTATTCAAAATTTTCTACCTACTAGCCAATGCCATTTCGGTATGAGCGGAACTAGATCTTTCACAAAATTCGGCATGAATTTTTCTCCACATATGAGAGAACTTCATCTCATTGCTCGTGATCGGGTAATGACCAACTTGGACCCAACACTCATACAACAAAATATCTTCCATGGTTGGCCATGCCCCTCCGGCTTTGATGGAAGATGTCATTTGTATTTCAACACAAATGAAATTTGGAAAGTGAAGAAAATTTGGTGTGGAAAATGAATAATATGGGAAGGAGAGGAAAATGTATGAAGATTTGGAGTGGAAAGTGAAGAATATTGGTAGTTATTTATAGAAAAAAAGATTTAGAATTTTTTGGTACTTTTTAACCAAAAAAAATGGCAGTCATTGGATTGGAGGACAAATAACGATGGACAACTCAGGACAAGTGACGTGGCTTCTAGCCGTTGGGGGAAATAAGGGTTGGCATAAGTGCACGGAAGTTTCAAAAAAAAAATTTACCGTTGGCGCATGCCAATGTTAAAAAAATTTAAAACCCAAGTGTTGACTCCAAGCTGGCGTCAACTGCCCCCAGGCACAAGCTCAAGCTCGTTTTGCCTTTGGACTTGCCCGGTTTGCTGGGACCCACCTCCTGCCCAGGCAGCTGAAGCCCATTGAAAGCTCGACATGGGACTTAGGCCCCCTCATGCCTGGGCCAAACTGCAGCGGTGGAAGTGCTCTAACCCTCTGTTTGGATGATGGAAAACAACTAGGAATTTAGCTAAAAGTCGGGAATTTAAGAGAGAAATTGACAATTCCCTTGTTTGGCAAGTTAAGCGCGAAATTTATTAAATGACGAGCGGAAAAAATCGTAGACATTAGAGCATCAAATTCCCGAGTTTAATTTCCATCAAAATAGGCGTCATTTCACAATTTCCATAATACCATTTACAAAATTTTGTCATTTACAAAATTCAACATACATAAATCCAAACATTGAAATCTTCAATTGCCAAAAATTGAAACGATGGAAATCAAAATTCTGTCATTTTAGAATTGAAGGCTACTCCTAAATCAATTACAATTAATACATAAAAAGAAACAAATAACCTTCTAATTTCCAACACATAGCATCCACTTTAGACTCATTGCACAACACAAATATGACCAGAGAATGAAAACTGCATATTAATAAGACAAACTTCTCACACAAACTGTCACTTGATCACCCATAAACCACTCAAATAAGCCCTATTTGACATCAAACACCCACAAATCTCAAAAGCATCATAGCCCTAAGAGCCACTCTAGCGGTGCAGGCTGCTGGGGGCGGGGGGTGGCCAAGCCCTAAAAAAGTTTCCAAAGGCCCAGTTTTGCCCGAGCAGGCGGTGGGGGCTACGAGACAGGGCGAGCCGGAGCTCCAGCCCGAGTTTTAGCTTACGTCATCGTTGACGCCAGGCTGGCGTCAGCCCTGGAATTCAAATTTTGTTTACTGTTGGCATGTGCGTTGCAAGCGCCAACGGTAAAAAAAAATAAAATTGCACGAGCGCCTCAATTTCCTCCAACGGCTAGCAGCCACGTGGCGTCATCTGGGCGCTCCAATTGTTTTTTATCCTCCAATCCAACGATAGCCAATTTTGTTGCAATAAAATTATGAAGAAAAAAAATATATTGAAATTTTTTTAAAAAAAAGCCCAAAAATTATTATTATTATTATTATTTCTATAAATACCAACAAATACTCTTCACTTTTAACACCAAATCATCATACATTTTCTTCTCATTCAACTATTATTCAGTTTCTACTCAATGTTTTATTCACTTTCAAGTATTCATTTTTATTCACCATCTTATGGCATCTTCCATCGAAGCCGGAGGGTCGTGTACAAATGATCAAAGAGGTCAAAATCTAGGCGACGAGGTAAAAAATTAATTGCCGTTTTATTCAATTTAATGTCATTCTTTTTTATATTTTCTTACATTTCCAATTTAATTTTTTTAATAGATTATTCAAGGCAAAACAAAAAAATGGAAAACCATTACACATGGATCCTCAAGTGAACAATGCTCGCAGTCGGTTCCCTTGGTGCATTCCGTGTCGGAAATAATGGCACTATTACGTCTTCCAAAGGAAAATACTCCCCCACGTCGTGATCCGGTGGAACCGCCTCCGCCAATGATCGAGTCATCCTTGTACTCGATTATGTCGGACTATGAGGACCAGGAGTATTTCCATTGTATGATGAGTGAGTAGGTATTTAATTGTATGATGATTGTGATGTGAATTTTATAATAAATATGGACATGTGGTAACCGAAAATTTTATACAAAAATTTTATATGAAATTTGAGATGTGAAATTTAGAATAAATATGGACACGTGGCAACCGAAAATCTTATTCAAAAATTTAATATGAAAATGTTATCGGAAGTTATCCAAAAATTTATCTGAAATATGAGATGAGAATTTTATATAATAAAAAATGACACATGGCAACCAAAAATATTCTCCAAATTAATTGTTTAGGTAAAAAAATAAAATAAAAAACTAAAAATGAATAGTATTTGCCCTTTGCCATGACAATGGGTGGAAATATACATTGCTTTTTGCAAAGGCAGCCACTATTCACGTGAATAGTAGCTGCCCTAGCCCCCTCCTTGCCATGACAAAGGGCAAATGGATGGAAGTGCTCTAAATAAACCCATAAACCCCATTTTACATCAAGCACCCACAAACCTCAAAAACATTATAGCCCTGAAAAAACCCATAACCACCACATTCATCTTACATCTCACAAATTGAACATAAAGTCAGATTTAATTCACTTTGAATAAGAGGGCTCTTGAGCCGAAAGGGGGATAGTTAAAGTGAATTGTTGATATGATTAATGTTTGTTGAAACTTGAAATGTATGGTCCAAATTACTGTACCATATAAAAAAATAACTTTGGCAAAATAATATTTACTCTCGTAAGTTTACCTCATCCTATATACCCACCTCGGCGAAAATGACACTTGAGTTGGTGAAGTGCTCTCTCTCCTGGAGGAACAATTCAAAAGCTTCGGTGGCCAAATTTGTCTCACAAAATACACAAAACCCGATCAGGCCATATCTGCGAGAGTCCCTTTGTGGCTGAGAAATGAGAACTTTGGATAGGCCATTCATGGATGGCTTTGGTCTCATATCTCTCTCTCATACACCAATTCATTTTCCCACATAATTGAGTTACAAGTTTAAAATCGCACCAATCTTTGTAGTTGATAATGAAATCTCAACTCTGAAGCTATAGACAAAACAGGTGTCGAACTGAGCAACCAACCATGAATAAGCCCACCTAGGAGAGCAAGGACAAAACCCACCATAATTCAAAAACCACAAAGGGAAAAATCACTACCACCGAAATCTCACCCACGCAACTGAACCCAGAAGCCAAAGAGTGAGAGAAAACTCAGCATGGCAATGGCATTGGCGCTTCGCAGGCTTTCCTCTTTTGGGGACAAGCCTGTTCGCCCTCTCTTCAATGCCACCTCTCATTATTACATGGTTCTTTCTACTTTTTCTCTTGTTTTGTGTTGTTGGGTTCTTTGCTGTCATTGAATGCCTGATAATTTTACCACTTTCCCACTTACTTGTTTTCATTTTACAGTCATCTTTGCCCAATGAAGCTGTCTACGACAAGGAGAAGCCCGGTGTCACAGTAAGTTCCCATTATAGCCAGTTTTTAATCTGATTTGGGTTTTTTGCTTTGTGTTTTTGTGTGTTGATGTGGTTTGTTTCTAAATAGTAAAGCATGAACTTTATATCTTACAGTGGCCTAAGCAACTGAATGCTCCACTGGAGGCTGTGGATCCCGAAATTGCAGACATCATTGAACACGAGAAAACCAGGCAATGGAAGGTATGCTGTTACTCTGTAATCAAAATCAAGACTTTGGTATGAACAATGATTGTTAGAATGGACAATGATGTGGTTTGATGCCTATGTTTCAGTGAACAATTATACTTGTGAATGGTGCTTTCTTTTAGTAGTCTATGTTGAAAATTTTATCCAGGCCACAATTGAGAAATTTTTATCTCTTTCCATTTTCTATGATTTTGTGGTGGGAATTTAAATGATGGAAACAAGTTTCTCTTTAGCACGATATCAAGTTTTGGTATGTTGTTTAACTTCATCTCTTATTAGAATTCTTTGTTGTATTTCTGAAGGGGCTGGAGCTGATACCCTCAGAGAACTTCACATCGCTGTCTGTGATGCAAGCAGTTGGGTCAGTGATGACCAACAAATACAGTGAAGGATACCCCGGTGCTAGATACTATGGAGGAAATGAGTATGTGAAATCTTCCCTACTATTCCCTTTGATTGAAAGCAGGGTGTTTACATAGTCAACTCTTTAGGTTTTATTTTGGGCTAGAAACTAATTAAAAAATAACTCTTCAAATTCTCAGGTTCATTGACATGGCAGAATCTTTATGTCAAAAGCGTGCTTTGGAAGCATTTCGGTTAGATCCAGCAAAATGGGGAGGTAAATTCATATGGCATAACTCATGAACAGCCTCCAGCTATTTGTTACAATGTCCAAAAGTAAGCATACGGGCAGTATGCATCTCAACATTCACCAGGACCATAGTTTCACATTCACAGGCCACTTTTCAAGCATCTGCTATATGAGTCAGGATGACATCTATATGAACAGCCTCCAGCTATTTGTTACTATATGAGTCCAAAATTAAGCCTGGGATGTCTTGGAAGATTAACGGAGTTGGTTTCAGAAGATAAAACTTACACAAAAAACTTCCTACCATCATCTCCAAATTGCATCTTAGTCCTCAACACAACTTCTAGCTTTATCTTCCTATCACATATCGTCTATGACTATTTTTAGCAACTGTGTGAAAGAACTTGCCATTCGTATCACCTTCCTGGAGCCACCGAACGTATCAGTTGCAAGAAATTAGTAAGAGCTGGAGAATTCTATAATGTAGGTATTGGAGATGAGTGCTTGCTTGTGGTTGAAGATTCGATGGCTTATGTTTTGCTAATATACAGTTGCCTGTGCTAAGTGTGTCAAAATAGAAATTTGTTTCTGTCCAATTTTACAGAAACAAGACTAGCAATATTCTACAGACTAGGATTAGGTAGAGGATTAAAAGTTGAAGTGACAATTGAAGAAGAGGAAGAGGAAGAGGATTGTGTAGCCATAAGAAACTGAGAAAATGATGGAGAGATAGGAGGTGTGAGAAGAAAAGAGGCAGAGAGCAAAAAACATGAAGAATTACCATGAAACAGATATATGGAGTAGGGTTAGCCTCTGTATTTATAATCAGTATTGTCTTGCTGTACTAGAGTCTGATGTATTAAATAAGTTGAGCACAAACCAAGTCCCCTAACTCAAGTCAATCAAATCCCTGAATAGTAGGTTTAGCAATATCTAATATATGTTAACCGCATAGAAGCTTTCTTTTTTACATGATGTCATCTTCCTATATTGCAGTCAACGTGCAGCCTCTATCGGGGTCTCCAGCTAATTTCCAGGTTTACACTGCATTGTTAAAGCCTCATGATAGAATCATGGCACTTGATCTTCCTCATGGTGGACATCTTTCTCATGGGTATCAGGTAATTACAACTTCCGGTGAGCAGTTTCTTCTGTGATGAAATGTCTAATCAGTCTACGATCAGTGTTTTCATCTGTTTTGATTCTAAACCTAAGGGTGTACTTGAAAATATTTCCTCTGTTCTGTTGTAACATCTGCAGATTCTTTTTTCTCTAGAAACTTGAAATAGCTGCACTAGAATAGTATCACTGTTCCTGTAACATCTATTGACTTTGAAGAAAGTTGAACCTCATGCCGTTTATAATTTTTCAATTTTTGTTACTTCAATACTTGATGGTAACTACATTCCTTCTTTTAAATTTCTTGTTTTTTTTTGTTTTTTTTTGTTTTTTGTTTTTGGTAATGTGCAGACTGACACTAAAAAGATATCTGCTGTGTCGATCTTTTTTGAAACAATGCCGTACAGATTGAATGAGAGCACTGGCTATATTGACTACGACCAGGTAGCTTAGAAGTTTTCTTGTTATGGTGATTCTTGGGTACAACTCATTTTTTCAATGTTACTTTGTTGCCAAGTTCCTACTTCAAAAATGCCTTAAACTACCTTTAGTTTTTGGCCTTGGCATGACAGAGGAATTTATGAAGATCAATAAAGACCAAATAATAACACAGTGCAAATTCAAACCTATTAGTTCAACCTGTAGGCTGTAGGATTAGTAAACTGTCTGCTTTTGATAAATTATCAAAAGACCAAAAAAGACATTATCAAAAACTTATTGCTGAAATACTGTAATGGATGATTTAAACCACAACATTCTGTTGAAAGATTACCAAGATAAAATCTATCTTATTCTTATTATTCTTGCTTGTCATATAGAAACTTTGTGTTTAAATTTATCTACCTGTGCCAGTAGAAGCTTCATCTGACAAGAGTAACCATGATTTGCAGTTGGAGAAAAGTGCCAAGCTATTTCGGCCAAAATTAATAGTTGCTGGTGCTAGTGCCTATGCACGTCTGTATGACTATGCACATATTCGCAAGGTAAACTTGTCTGGATTTGAATAATAATAATAGAAAAAAAAACTCAAAAGAAAACCCTTACACATCTTTTCTTGAGAAAACTAGAACTAGGAAGAACTATAATTTCATTTGGAATTTGATTTCGTGTGATGGTGGGTGGAAAAGTACAAGATTTACCTTTTAAGTACTTGACAGGTATGCAACAATCAGAAAGCAATATTGTTGGCAGATATGGCACACATCAGTGGGTTGGTTGCAGCTGGTGTCATCCCATCACCTTTCGAGTATGCGGATATAGTGACCACCACAACGCACAAGTCGCTTCGTGGCCCTCGTGGAGCCATGATTTTCTTCAGGAAGGGGGTAAAAGAGATTAACAAACAAGGGAAAGAGGTGAGTTTTCAAAGATCACAGTTCAAACTTATTTATTTTTACCTTTTAAGCTGCAGTTTAATAAACTCACCCAATGTTTATACTTTCCTGAAGGTGCTGTATGACTACGAAGACAAAATCAATCAAGCTGTCTTTCCTGGGCTTCAAGGTGGCCCGCACAACCACACAATTACTGGTTTGGCAGTTGCATTGAAACAGGTGTACATGCTGATTATGATAACCAGGAATTTAATTTTTACTTTCTTTGTAGAAGTTAATTCCATTGTTAATGCGGTTTATTTAATTATTTATGGCAATAAATGATCTGTAGTAGTTATTGTTGATGTTGAGAATGGGGGCTTATTATGCATCTTGAGTTGAGTCTCAGCTCACCACCCGTGCAAATATCTTATGGAACTCAGGTGGCCAAGACAGTATTTATCTATACAGATCAGAAACTGAAATACCTTATATTGTCCTATGGAACTGACACATACTGGAGTCAAACTGCAAATTTTGTTTGAAGTACTTGCTTTACTTTTCTGTGACCACTGAATTAGAAAAAAAAATGTGGAAGTTCCTATTTGCAAATGGTCCGATGTAAGATATGCATGGTTTATGGCCAGTACATCCAAAGCAATTTTAAGGAAGTGTTAACTCTCTTGGCCTTTAACATCCATGGCCAATTCAGACCTTACCCTTTTATCCTCACACTCTCCTTCCCCCAGTTCTTTCATAAAATTACCGATGACACTTGAGAATTTTACTTTTCAAGTTCTGTTGAAATCTTATTGGTCATATTTTCTGATTCTTGTTTAAATGTAGGCTACTACACCAGAGTACAAAGCTTATCAAGAGCAAGTTCTCAGCAATTGCTCAAGATTTGCACAGGTATCATATTCTGAGATGCAAGAATCTTTGTTTTTGAGACAAGATCTTAAATTATATATATATATATATATATATAAATCGTGCATTATTATCACACGGATGTCTGCACATTATTATCATGCGGATGCTATTGTAAACAGGCAGGAAAGCAGGGAGGGGTAGCATAGGAGAATTTCTGTATATCAGTTATTCTCTTATCCGGATATCCGCACATTATTATCTTGCGGATGCTATTGTAAACAGGCAGGAAAGTAGAGAGGGATAATACAAAATACACGGCATCCGCACGATATAACATCCGGATGTTCGCATATGAGAATTTATGTATATATATATATATATTTCAAAAGGAAAAGAGACAGAGAGAGATAATAGCTTCAGACATTTCCTTTTGTTCACCTATGCTAGAATTTTCCTTGATATAATGTTCTCTTGTTAAGACATAGGTCTATAATTTACTTCCAGCATTCTAATAGCTAAAAATTGGAAAAAAATACGCAGTCTTTGGTTGAGAAGGGCTACGAACTTGTCTCTGGCGGAACTGAGAACCATTTAGTTTTGGTGAATTTGAAGAACAAGGTAACAGAATTTTTCTTTTTTTTGTAATACTTTATAGAGAAGCTTATGGGTTTCAAAAATTTGTTTGTGCAATCATCTAAGTCTACCACTTAGTTGTGCTTTATAGTCAGAGAAATTTTGAAACTATCAATCTGAGCTGTTGACTCCATGTAATAGTGTACCATATAGTTTTTCTATCATGAAAGATGCAGTGACAGCACTGTCTGTTTGTTAAAACCTCATTTTCCAGGGTATTGACGGCTCCAGGGTCGAAAAGGTGTTAGAAGCTGTTCACATTGCAGCCAACAAGAACACTGTTCCTGGAGATGTGTCTGCCATGGTTCCTGGCGGCATCAGGATGGGTAAAAGCTTCTCATAATTTTGGTTCTTCTTACGCTCTTTTTCTTTCATAAAATTTCAGTAACCTTACTTGGTGATTTTTTTGAACTTCAGGAACCCCGGCTCTTACTTCTAGGGGATTTGTTGAGGAGGATTTCACTAAAGTTGCATATTTTTTTGATGCTGCTGTGAAGTTGGCGGTGAAGATCAAGGGGGAAGCCCAAGGTTCCTAAACTATTTGATATCATAAATTTCATGCTCACCAAGCTTTTGTTTGTCCAGTTGTCATTCATATACAAGTGGTATCTAATAGTTGGCTGTTGATAATCCTGGTGTTTGCATGGGCTAATATGGAACTGCATTTCCTTCATTTCTGTATACCAGGAACAAAGTTGAAGGACTTTGTGGCCGCACTGGCCGCCCCTCACTTCCAATCTGAAATTGCAAAGCTCCGACATGATGTTGAGGAGTATGCTAAGCAATTTCCCACAATTGGGTTTGAGAAGGAAACCTTGAAGTACAAGAACTGAAGAACAATGTTAGGTATGAGATTACCTGAATACTATACAAGTAATATATATTTGCAGATTACGCTTTGTGCTTTAATTCAAGCAACTAACTTGAAACATTGAACCACAACTTTGCACTTTAATTGAAGCAAGTCCACAGGCATGTCTTGTGTTTTAATTTATCTTTGTGGAACAGGCACGGTAAGCAGTCATCAACCGGACTTTTCTTGGTTGAGAAAGCAGAAGGATCGTACGTCAAGATGAAGAGTTATACTGTATTTAAATTCAGCAAACCTTGATTCGGATCCTGGTTAATGTATATAGATGTATTAGTTGAAACTTTGTAATGCAATAAACCTGCCTTGATTTAATACCCAAGAAAAAGAAAAAAAGAAAAAAAAAGCTATCACCATGAGGTGATATCACAACCCAAAAGATGATAATCAACTAAAGTAAACAATTTTTACAGATAATGAACTGTTTAGTTAACTTAATTTTTACATTATCAAAAGCACCTTGTCCAACTGGCCTAACTCACGTCTATGTTTTTCTATTTATGAATCTTAAAAGTGTATATTGCAAGTCAAAAAATCTTAAGTTATATTTTCAATGAGACTACCTGGACTATGAAATGTAAAAACACATATCATATACACTTGAACAACAACAATTTCAAAGAATAAATCTGAAATGTTGGTTTAGTAATACTTAGTAATTAAAATAAGTATAGAATACATAATGAACTCTGGGAGGTTCCTCTTATTTCAAACATAAAAGATTCATCAAATTTCTTTCCTTGGTTTCATGAGCTCTTACCGCTAAACTATGGACCGTTGATACGATTCCCATTCTAATTAAAGTGTGCCCAATTAAAAACTTGTCAGTCAGAATCCGAATTTACAATGCAACTTGGCATTAGTGGTGTGCCATTTTTCCACATAAAAAAAACAAAATGAAGCATAACCTCAAATGCACAGAACGAAAGAGATAAAAAAAACAGAAATGAGGCATATCTTAAAGCTCCACGTACGAAAGAGAGCCCTGTTGGCTTCTCTCCTTATATTCAACATGCTCATGGCTACTCGCGTCATTCTCTCTCGTTCAGTCCACCCCCTCCTCCTAAAGCGCACTCCTTTCCTCCATTCTGCCCCTAAACATCTACCCAAATCCCAGTCTTGTCCCCTCTGGTCTTCTTCCTTCTCCTTCTGCCTCAGTCTCCACAAATCCGCCACTACCAATCCTTCACTCTCTTCTCGCCCTTGTTCTTCCCTATCTGCAACTGCAATGGCCTCCTCTGCTTCTGTAGACGAAGCTCTCGAAGCCAATCCTCTTCTCCAAGACTTTGACTTCCCTCCCTTCGATGTAGTCGATGCCAAGCACGTGCGACCTGGGATTCGCGCTCTCTTGAAGAAACTGGTACGATTTTCATTCCAGTTTCAAAAAATTTCATTTTGTTTTTATTTTTATCGTATTTGTTTTGTATTGGTTTCTGGGTTCTTCGTGTTTTTTCTAATTGGGTTCTGGTTTTTTCTGGGTTTGGATTTGATGGTTTCCATGGTGGGGTTTAAAGGAGGGTAATTTGGAGGAATTAGAGCGTACGGTGGAGCCCACCTGGCCGAAGCTGGTCGTGCCGCTGGAGAAGATCGTTGACCGATTAACTGTGGTTTGGGGGTTAGTCAACCACCTCAAGTCTGTTAAGGACTCCTCGGAGCTTCGTTCTGCTATTGAAGAAGTCCAAGTATGGATTTTGTTTTCAGAAATTTTGCTTCTGTGCCTCGTCTGTTCTTGAAGTTCCATTTTTGTTTTTATTTTGAATCACTTTTTATTTCAAAGAGGGCCTTATTAGATGATATTGACTTGACTCTGAAAGCTGTCCTTTTAACTCGCTCTAACTAACTTCTCAGTATTATTACATTTGTGGTCCCTGAATTGGCTTCTATGTTTTGATTTTGCTTTGGGTTCTTGTTCGGTGGTGCTCTGCAGCCAGAGAAAGTTAAGTTTCAGCTTAGGTTGGGGCAAAGTAAACCAATTTACAATGCATTTAAAGCTATTCTAGAATCACCTGATTGGCAGACGCTGACTGAGGCCCGCAAACGAATAGTTGAAAGTGAGTATTCATATATTTTGTACCATGTAAAAGTTGAATCTACAAGGCATACGGGGGTCCACGACCTTTTCATTGGTTTTTCTATTCTAAAGTAATTGTGATGTTTGATGAACTATACCTGTACCACTGAGGCTTGCTATATTTTACACTTGAAAAAGGATGGCTTGCAGTTGGTGCTTGAACTGGACACAGGACTTGAAGCCATGTGCAAAACTTGTTATTTCCTTAATGCGTGTTTTGTAGAAGGCTTAGTTACAATTTTACAAGCTAACAAAATTAACATCTTGGCATCCTGCTTAAACATTATCCATGCAAAGTGTGGTTTTCCTTTTACCTTTACGTTTTTGTCTATGCTTGTCTTGTCTGACATTTCTCTTATTGTGCTTGTGCAGGCCAAATAAAGGAGGCAGTTTTGTCTGGTGTTTCTCTAGAGGATGATAAAAGAGACAATTTTAACAAAATTGAACAGGTGTGCTTTAATAAATTTATTAAGCTAGTACTGTAGGAGTCTTTTTGAACGTCATCCTCGGTTGTGTCTTTGAATTCTTTTTTCTTTTTTTTTAATCTTGGAAGAAGGTTGTTATCCATTTATGGTAACTCAGGTTTTGGCATCACTATATGAGTTGCTACCGCTACAACCGCGTGCTAACTTATGCCATATTATTCCTTGGATACATAGTTTCATACAGGCTTGTATGAGCATTGCTTACCCCTTTCTTATATATTTGGAGGAGGAGGAGGAGGGGGTTGGAGGCAATAGTTTGACTTAATCTATATCAGAAAACTTCTGTGCTGCCTTTTCTTCGTATTTTTTATTTGTAGTTTATTTATTTATTTAATTTTGTTGGGCCTTTCCCTTCAATTTGGAAATATCGGATATGAGTTAATATCTATTTAATTCGAGTAAGACTAACAAATAGGTTTTGATGATGATATTCTCATTTTAGTTTGGTGTTACCATTACTTGATTTTGGCATTTCTATTTGCAGGAACTAGAAAGACTGTCTCACAAATTTGAAGAGAATGTTTTGGATGCCACAAAGAAGTTTGAAAAGCTAGTTACTGATAAGAATGAAATTGAAGGATTGCCAGCCACTGCTCTGGGAATGGCAGCACAAACAGCACTGTCAAAGGTATTCCAATTGTACCCTGACGAGGTTTCTTTAGACTTGTTATTTATCTTACTTAGTATCATCTGTTGTATCTGTGTATCTCATCAGGGGCATGAAAATGCAACTGCTGAGAATGGGCCTTGGATAATTACATTGGATGGCCCAAGTTTTCTCTCTGTTATGCAACATGCTCGAAACCGGTCTTTGCGTGAGGAAATATACCGTGCTTACATAACTCGTGCATCCAGTGGAGATTTGGATAATACTGCTATCATTGACTCAATTTTGAAGCTTAGGTTGGAAAAGGCCAAGCTTCTGAATTACAATAACTATGCTGAGGTGCGTCTATTCATTTTAAACATACTTTCTTATGATAGGCTTGCTGAGATATAATGTATCAGGTAAGCATGGCAACCAAAATGGCTACTGTTGAAAAAGCAGAAGAGCTCCTAGAAAAACTTCGAAGTGCTTCCTGGAATGCTGCAGTTCAAGGTAGGTTATTGACAGCTCCTACTTTATGGAAAGTTATTTCTATGATTTTTAATAGAGTTTATCATTCTTTGTTAGCTTTCAAAAAAAAAGGGAGGAAAATGAAGATAATTTTTAAAGAAAATATATTCAGCAAAAAGTCTTTTATGTTAGAAAATATACTGACGTTTTTATTTATTTATATCCTTGTAGATATGGAAGATCTTAAGAATTTCTCCAAAAGTAAAGATGCTCCAGAAGCTTATGATTTGAATCACTGGGACACCAGCTTCTGGAGTGAGAGGCTTCGTGAGTCTAAATTTGACATCAATGAGGTTCTCTCTCTCTCTCTCTCTCTCTCTCTCTGCTCTTATGTGTGTTGTGTGCAACTTCTAATCTTCCATCTGTTTGGAATTACATGTGTAACGTCAAATGGTGTAATTAGTACCTACTTCTCTCATTCACTTCATTAAATCTTTTGTTGTCACTTTTGTGTGACAGCATATATTAATGAAACATAATTGGAGATTGTCAAACTCTTTCTTTCTTGTTTTAATTTTTTGTGTGCTATCACTTTCCCATTAATTTAAGGCCACCGTTTTTGTTCGCAAGACTTATATTCCTGCCTTTGTATTCTACAGGAAGAATTGCGTCCATATTTCTCCTTGCCCAAGGTCATGGATGGCCTATTTAACCTAGCAAATATTCTTTTTGGAATTAATGTTGAACCGGCTGATGGTCTAGCTCCGGTATGTATGCTTTTTGGAATTGCTATATTTTGGTTCATTTAATGAAGATATGAATTTGCATCCTGTACTCATATACAAATACACACACACGTCTCTCAGGTTTGGAACAATGATGTTAGATTCTATTGCATCAAAGATTCTTCTGGGAGTCCCATTGCATACTTTTATTTCGATCCATATACTCGTCCATCAGAGAAAAGGGGAGGTGCATGGATGGATGAAGTTCTTGCTAGGAGTCATGTATTGTCACGTGATGGTGCCTCTGCGAGGTTGCCTGTGGCACACATGGTGTGCAATCAAACACCACCAGTGGGAAACAAGCCCAGCCTTATGACCTTCCGCGAGGTAAATTGAATTACATTCATTTTTAGCTTACTGGCCATGACCAAAAGCTAGAGTAATTAGAAGGGGAGCGAAAGTTAAGGGATTCAGGGGATGGTTAAGTGGGAATGGAAAAGGAATGTGCCTACTTTTGAGGTCCATCATTTTATTTTTTTGAGGAGATCAAGCCCATCTTTTCACTTCCTCCTGTATTGGAGCTATATGAAAGTTTGATGATATAGATTACAGAAAGTGTGTTTCATAGATCCAAGGATGTATTACGGATCCCCCATTCAGATTGAGATGCACTGATCAGAGTCCATCCATCTAGTGGTTGGAGTGACTTTATTAATTCTGGTTCAGCATGAGTAAGTGTCGATTGGTTTATGTGAAGGCCTTGGTATCCTATCAACACGTGCCCAATTTTAAATAATATTTTCAAAAACACTTTTACTATTGATGTTGTGACTGGCTTGGTCTGAGGAATGCATGCAAGTATTGCCAAGTCTAGGCTTGTGCTATTGCTGGTAACAAGTCCTATTCTTCTACTTGTAGAATGTTAATGAGTATTTTTTTTAAGTTGATATAATCAACTAGTAAAAAGGCTCTGAATTTCTTTATAGAAAGAAAATCTGGGAAATTTTGGGTGGGGCACTGAATGCCACATGTATGTATATTTTTGTCTTACAGTCATGAAATAGTGATTATCTTTGCAGGTAGAGACTGTCTTCCATGAATTTGGTCATGCACTTCAGCATATGCTGACTAAGCAAGATGAGGGTCTCGTTGCTGGTATTCGGGGAATAGAATGGGATGCTGTTGAATTACCCTCTCAGTTCATGGAAAACTGGTGTTACCATAGGTGATCTTGTCTGCTAAAAATCCTTTGAACTATTATGCTTTGAATCTTCTAGATTTACCTCTCAATTGATAGACCTTTATACTGATTGTGTCAAAGAGGGAGATGGGGAAAGGGATACATGTATGAAATATATAGTTGCTCTATCATCTCATCACGCACTTGCCCTTTGTTTCTCAAATTACTTACCTTTATACTGATTGTGTCAAATTTGCGTGCTATGCTTTAAAACTTTATATATGTGGGACTTCTGTCCTAAAAACTAGAGCCGATTTCCCTTCCATGCCGTATCAAGTGACAGTAGGATCCTATGTTCTTTGTCTCAGTATTAATGATTTATTTCTTGAATTGGTGCTGTAGAGACACTTTAATGGGCATTGCAAAACATTATGAAACTGGGGAGACTCTTCCAGAAGAAACATATAAAAAGCTTCTCGCAGCTAGGACTTTCCGTGCAGGCTCCCTAAGCCTTCGGCAGGTCAGTTCAGTATCTTGGTGTTACTTTTTCCAGACATCGTGTTGGCTTTTTATATTGTTCTATTCTTGTACTTTTGATATAAATATTACTTGGTTTTACTTTTATTGAGGATGTAAATCTGGATTCTTTGTTGGGTTTTGTCTTGCTTATCCTTGTGCTATATGAGTATTGTTTGTTCTCCATGAAGGATGTCTTTCTTGTGGTGTTATACCGAGGTTATGTCAACTTTGCGCATTCTGGCATCTTGAAGACTTTATGACAAACATCTTGTCAAATGTTTGAATCCGACATTCTTGTGCAACTTTATTATAACTATAGAATGTTCCAACTTTGTAGTAAAATGTATCTGTAAATTTCGGTAAAACCAAACTAAGATAGGCAAGAGACAATCAAAGAGATGAAGAATTGCATTTATTGATATACAATTACGTGCAAAGGTAAGAAAAAATAATAAAAGCTGAACGTTTAAATACGGAGAAAAACCTAATAAAGGTAATATAAATTCTAAACTACCCGTAGTGAAATAAGAAAATGCCTAATAGAAGTTCTTTATTGTAGATAAGATTCATAGCATTTATGCCCTTTGTTGTATATTAATTTTTGAATGATTTTCACTACATATATTTGTTTTTTATGGCAGTAATTTGCCTGTATTATCCATAGTTTCAGGAAGTCCACTGTATTCATATACATAACAGATTTTGTCTTTGATTTGCATATTGCAGATAAGATTTGCAAGTGTAGATCTGAAGTTGCACACAGATTACATACCTGGTGGATCAGAATCCATCTTCGATGTTGATCGCAGGGTTAGTGAACGAACACAAGTGATCCCTCCACTTCCAGAAGACAGGTTCCTTTGTGGTTTCAACCATATATTTGCAGGTTTGCTTCTACTTTCTGACTTTCAACTTCTCAGCAGTGTTCTAATTTTTAACTCCATTTGACCTTAAATGTTTATCTGTATATTGCTTTTTCTGTGAATATTAGGCGGATATGCAGCTGGGTACTACAGTTACAAGGTATTTCTTGTTCTTTCTCTTAAGATAACCTGTGTTCAACTTTCTGAACCACAAAAAAAAACAAAACAAAACAACTCTAGTACCTTATAATGATGTCTTCAAGTCAGTCCCTGGCTTGAGTTTATTGAGTGATCAAAGTATTTGTAATATTTTATCATATCCCTATGATTTGTGGCCTTGCTTTGTATTTTTAGTTGTCCATTTCCTATGGAATTTTGTTTTGAGTGGAAATTGCTCCATTTTTCAGTGGGCTGAGGTGTTGTCTGCTGATGCTTTCTCTGCATTTGAGGATGCTGGATTGGATAACAGCAAGGTAAGCTGGAAACAGCTGTGCATAAGAACTGGACAAGTTTTGCAACTTACATTGTGTAACAGGGAGTAATAATTCATGAATAGATTATGCATCATCTCCCCGTCGCTCCTTGTTGATTTTTTATATTTATCGTATCCCGTGAAAGTCATGCGGCTTTGCTCACCACCTCATGGGTTTTTTACATGCTTGAACACACAATGACATTGGACTTGGCCCATCAAACATGTCAAGCCATCTGCCTTCTTTTCACGTTTGATCTATTCACATGATGTTTAATCTTGCAACAGGCTGTTAAAGAAACTGGACACAAGTTCAGAGAAACCATCCTTGCTCTTGGAGGCGGGAAAGCACCACTAGAGGTTAGACAAACTACATTCCTTACGGCATGCATACCTTTTCATGATTTCCTTATATTTTTTTCCCCACAATTTGTTTGTGGGAAAAGCTTTATTTGGTTTCAACTATCTCTGCTTTGTAATGAAATAATATACGGCTTTGTCCATAATCGTTCTAGTGCTTAACCAAGCTTTGGATCTGTTAATTGTCGTTCTTTTCTGTCAATCATTATAAGTGCTCTTAAAGAGCATACTGATTTAGATTTCTTTAATCTTATATCCAGTACCCTCCTCCTAAGTTTCTTTCTGAATGTTTTGATTGTTTGTTTCCAGGTTTTTGTGGAATTCCGGGGTCGTGAACCTTCACCAGTGCCACTGCTCAGGCACAATGGACTATTAGCCACGGCTTCTGCATGAACTAAGATGAATTACGATGAATTATAATGTTTACTTGGCCTTTGATTTATTTTTGGCTCTGCATGGAATTGAAAGGCATCATGTGTCCAGAAAAAGAAATGAGTTCAACTGTATCAATTGTCCCAAACCCATTGTAAGGGGGGTCTTTTGCGTCAATGGCTAAAAGATGTTGTATGAAGCGTCATTCATCTCAATAAGATTGCTTGTCCAAGAACTTGAAAATAACACAACAAAAACAAAAAAATGCAATCAATGTATTCAGTTAATACTTTTGATACAAGCGATATTGAGTGAGATGGAAATCAAACTTAGGATTTCAGGTGTGGAGATAAATGCTCGTAGTCACTTTAGGCGCAAGCCCTTGCAAAATAACAACAATTGTTTTTGGCACTTGACACACTACAATGTGTTTTAAACTAGTACTTTTTCGGGGCAATTATTATTCAAACTCTCAGTTTGTCATCCTACGCTTCAAACTTAATGCAAGCAGTGTCATCTTACACACAAACGCTGAAAGTAGTGAAGGATTACATACTGAGAAGGAAAATAACACTATCGTTAGTATATTTACTGTTAAAACAGAAAAGATAGATATTAGGCTGTTTATTAGCTAAACATTGTGCTATTCACCTTTTTGTCTATAAAACGAAAATGCTAGCAAAGTTCCTATAAAAAATTGAGCACATTATGAAAGAAATTTAAAAAAAAACTAAATAAAAAGAGAACAATATAATGGAGGGTTTGCCTTGGAAGGTAAGACTCACAAATCATAAGACAAAAAGGTCATAAGCAATCCAGTACCAATCCATCTATGATCTGAAAGTTGATAAAGCAAGAACAAGAAGCAACCCACCTCACCTCAAACTTCAAACTTCAAACCCTTCCACTTATTTTTTACAAACTACCAAATAAATAAATAAGACAACAACCACAGGAAGAAATAAAGTAAGGAAACCTGCCATCTTCACACCACCATCTTACAAAAGCATTAAAAATCAATTTGCTCCCATTCTATAGAAAAAGAAAAAGAAAAAGAAAAATCAACTTACTCCAATCACAGGCCAACAACCAAAAAAATCATAAAGGATGTATGTACCCACCTCTGTTAGATAGATTAAATAATGTTAGTTTGTTTAGATCTTTGAATTTGCTGGGTGAGCCACCAAGTAGACAGATCAAGATGGCTCGGGCAGGAGGAATAACAAACGCAGTGAACGTTGGGATAGCGGTCCAGGCTGATTGGGAAAACCGCGAATTCATCTCCCACATTTCTCTCAATGTTCGCCGCCTCTTCGATTTCCTTGTCCAATTCGGTACATCCTTTTCCAACCTGTATTCTCGGTTTTGGTTTTGGTTTTTCTGTTTGTCCTATTTTGTTTCTAGTCTTTTGCTGGTTTGGGTATGTCTCAAAATCTTGTCTGTATTGTTGACTTGCTTCAGTTGGTTTCATGGTTCTTGCTGATTTTGGTGCTGACCCAACTGAGATTTGGACCAATTTCTCTAAGTTGCTGATAGTTTTAGTGAGTTTGCTGATTTGGGTGTCTCTCATTTTGAGATTGGAGTGGATTTTAGACTTGGTATATGCCTCCCTTGAGGGTCCTAGACCATTAAAGATTGTTTAATTTATTTTCATTGCATATTAGCCTGAAACGTAGCACCTAACCAAAATTCCACCTTGTTCTGCCAAAGATTTGGTTCTGATTTATCTACTTTAAATGGGAGTGCACATATATTTGGTTGAATTTTGTGACCCGAAACAACGAATGTAGGATGGTTAATCATCATCTTGTTCAAGCACCAAGCTTTCTCTTAACTGAACTCTTCTTGCAGCCCTAGTTTGAATCTTTCTATAGGTGCATAGTTGGAATGACTACTTTACCCAGCTTCAGCACAATCCGTTATTCAGTAATAATTTAGTTTGCTGGAGTCCTTGCATCTGGTTTCGAATCTGATTTTTCCTTTTACTTTTAGGATGGTGGTTTGTTTTCATTTGATCTACTTGTTGGACAAATTGGAAATTTCTCTTCCTTTGGGAATTTAATTAATGTTGCACACTCTTGGGCTGATTTTTGTTTTTCTTGTTATTGAAGAGGCTACAACAAAGAGCAAATTGGCATCACTGAATGAGAAGCTTGATGTATTAGAACGAAAGCTAGAACTTCTTGAAGTTCAAGTGGGTACTGCATCAGCCAACCCTTCTCTTTTTGCTCGTGATGCTTAGCAGATCATGCCATTCTTATTAGATTATAATATACCACTTTACTGTAAGCATCCTCTTGTCTATAGTGTGGACGTGAACTTATTTCTTGGTCTTGTAGCCCTGTTCAAAAGTAATCTATCCATTTTTCTGCCTTTATGTTGAGTAATAGAAGTAATTTGTTTGTCATGAGGTTATTTTGCGGGTATACACTTCAAACAGAGCATGCTCTGTTTAAAGTCTTTTATTTTCTCTTAGATACGTATGCATTGGATGCATTTTCACGAATGGAAGAGGATCGCGCAAGAGAATCTGATGGCGCAGGCAATTCTTGATATAGTGGATAAAAGACGATGCAAGTCTCTGATTAACAAGGCCTTGCCCAAATACTGTCAGATACAGCTATGTAGAACCCTAGTTGCAATTTTGCCAGTTGGGGTATTTTACGTTAGTTAGTCATTCTTTGTGGTCTTCTTTTCCTTCATTAAAATCAATTGCTTATTCTTTGTAGTCATTCTGGTTGAATTGCATGTGTTCTCTCATCTTCTTCTTGCTGCTCCCATAGCTCAGTCTAGTGCATTTAGTATAAGCTCAGTCTTCTTTGATCAACCCTATTGTCCATCTAGCTTCATCTTATCTGCAAACAAGCTACTATGGTCAAGAAGACGAGCAGCTATACGCTATTGTGTTACAATGTTTTCAATTGGTTACTCTTTAGAGATTTCGGACCGTTGGTCTGCATAACAATGGGGATTTTTGTCTCGGTTTTAGGTGCTTGCTACTTATAGTTTTCAAGATTGACTTTGGATCCTTTTATTATAAGAATCAATGAATTCATACACCCTCACTTCCTATCTGTTTTGCTTACACAACTGACCCTTGTAATTTGATCAGACGTGTTCAAGCTAACTCCTTTCCTTAGTATACATCCCCATCTTGCAAATTAATTAACAAGTGAAAATTGGGGTGACGGCTTTAAATCCAAGATCTATTGCAACCAGAGCTCCGTTACCGTGTTAGAAATTCACTAGACCCGTTTGGGACTGCTTATGTTAAAAAGAACTATACTCTAGAGAACTTTTGCTAAAAGTGCTTTTATTACAAGTACAGGGACATGGGTTGTTTTTTTTACAAATCCAAGTACTTTTGGAGAAGCACTTGCACTTTAAGTAATTTTCGTGGAGCATAATTTGGTACAATTATGAATTCTCAGTGACACATTTAAGAAGTCTAACGTTGAGACCCTATGATGCCTGCATATATTGCATTGGTTTTGGTAGGCTGTTCTCATCATTTATTAAAAGGGTCAAACAATGCAAAAGAAAGCCCACACCATTCTTCAGAACTATAATAGCGTTAAGTAGATTCCTTCACTGTAAGAAAAATATATTACACAAGAAGGCGCATAAATTCAAAAAGAGCATTTGGAAATTATCCTAATTTTCTCCTTTATCACTTATGCGAAGCAACAAAACAATCATTCACAAAGTGACGAAAAATCTCATAAAACCATTCACTATCTTGGCTCCGGAGGAGCCATTTGTGACAAAATAGGTGAAGGTTCTGAAGGAGAGGGTGATGGAATCCTTCTCTCCATCACCACAGAAAAGCGATTAGATCCAAAGCTCTCTATGGATCTCATGTATTCTGATGCGTTGTTCTCTATAATCAAAGCATCCTCCAGCTCCCGTACAATTTCAACCATGTTTGGTCGGGAAGCTGCGAAGGGCTCGATGCATGACACTGCCACCTCCACCACTCTCCACATAGCCTCTGCATGGTACGCTCCTTTTATGTTTGGATCAACAATTTCTTCAATCTTTGATTCCCTTACATAGGATTTGGCCTGCATGCAAAGGTGTCTTTTTGTTAGTTTGCACTTATTGGATAATTACGCTATGCTTATTCACAATGATTTGAATCTTCGAGGGGGAAGAAGAATAGGAAAAAGTTTCCGGCCAGTCTATCAAAATGCGGTGTCATGTAAGAGGTCATTGATCTTTATATAAAACATCAGACTTAGAAACAATATATGTATCAACATTCCCTGGACTCTAAACATGATCAAACATACCCATTCAACCAAGCTCCACTCGGGACGTGGCCTGTGTATGTTCAGAGGTTCCCGGCCACTTACAATTTCAAGCAGAACAACGCCAAAGCTAAATACATCACTTTTAGCTGATAAATGATGGGTCATGTAGTACCTGAACAATACCAGATTGAGATTATTAAGTTCAGGTAAATGTTTTCTACAGTTTATGCTTTTTGCACTACCTGAAAACTTCATGATGCAAAAAGTAGGAGACATTTTTAGCTTGTCCTGAATTTGTTCATGTACCTAGCGGATCCATGTCCATGTACATTCATCAAGGGTATGGTGACAGATTGATGTTGTATGTAGATGCAAGCTTAAACGTTATTTATTTTATTTAAATTGGCAGAGTGTTCTTGTAGTCCGACATCTCTACAGTCTACCAGTTCTGATTATAAACTAAAATAAGAAACTACAAAACCCAAAAACAATTCAAACCGAACAACTTAAGCTGAAGAAACAATCTTACTCTGGATCCAAGTATCCAGCTGTCCCTCTTACTTCCAGAGAAGCACAACTGTCACCTTCTTGGGGAGCATATTTTGAAAAACCAAAGTCTGCCACCTTGGCAGACATGCTATGATCCAGAAGAATGTTACTTGATTTCACATCCCTATGTATAATGCAACGCCCAGCAAAAGTGTGAAGATGCGTCAAACCTGAAAAGTGAAAGTACTCTTCAAACCTTCTGATATTCAAAATGTTAATGGGAAAAGACGATGAACATCCAGTCCATGAAAATAATATTGAATACTATATATAACTTGCCTCGAGCAGCACCAAGAGCAATTGACAGTCTGGTTGGCCAGTCCAGAATTTTTCTTTTTGCTGCTTCCCCTGTTAATTTATTTGATTTCAGTAACAATGAAAATCAAAAGGTATGTGTCCAGAGAAAGAGTGAGGTAACCAGTACCATAGAGGCGATCTTGTAGAGAGCCATTGGACATAAATGGATAAACTAGAATTTCTTGGTCATTTTCACAGCAATAACCAAGAAGAGGCACGAGGTTCTCATGGCGAATAGCTGAAAGAAGATTTAGCTGTAAAGTACATTAAAAGAATCGTCATTTCACTTTTAAGGTATGTCAAAACATAACATGATAGTTCATCCACCAGTCAAGGAAAAAAAAAATCATTTCTTGATATGAGATAAATAGACAAAAGTTAAAGATCGAAGAATGATAAGCAATGATTTCCTACATTAACATGAATTGTCATATATTATAGTAGTTATCAGTACTTAATTACAACTTAGACCTCTACTAAAATCACCTAAAAGGACAAACTTGAAATAAAGAAAAACTATGATTGTTATGGCACCCCAGCCAAGGAGCATTTTCCCTGGAAATGCTTGAACCATGTAGGGGTTGCCTCTGGGGTGCAACACCCCAGCTGGGCCCTGCCCATCGGGGCATTGACATGGGCAGTGACCATGGCTACCACCACCATTCAAAACAACCCAAAATAAAGTAGGTTAGGATATAGGGGTAATCGGGAATATTCTTGGGTGGGGTGAGTAATGAACGCAAAGAAGTAAAAAATTGTAGGGGGTGGGAAAAGCAAATGCGGAAATAGAAAGATATTAAGTAATCTAGAATGCACAGCAAGTGTTATATTTTATCTAATGGTAGCTGACTACAAATTTCCCTGCTCCACAAGGAGTGGGAGAATAGGAGTGATATTTCAAGTTCTGTGAGTCATATAAAATAGCTAAATCACATTAGATGATACCTGTAGGACCATTGCATAAAGTTATCAAAAGCTATGACCAAAAGTGCTCAAAAATGAAAATTGAATCTCCAACCTCATTCTCAAATTCCCGAGTTCCTTGGGTTGATGTTGCTGATCGAACCTTCACTGCCACTTCCTGACCATCAATTAAAGTTCCACGGTAAACAGACCCGAAACCTCCTTCACCTATCAATGTTTTATACCTTTGGGTCGCAGCCTCTATGTACTCAAGAGTAAATGTTTCTATGGATATTGACTTTAAAACCAGATCATCCATGCTGGGTAATGAGAAGATTAAATCTGCAGTTCAAGGATATCTTTATTCAGAGGCTACGTATTTTAGAAAAGCAAACTATATAATCTGCAATACTTCCTCAACTAGCCTGACAATGTAAACAATGTGCTCACTTCGTAGATCATAAGCACACCCAACAATTTTTGTTTATTGAATGTACAAGGGTATAATTGACATATATTTGTCTTTCATTCATCCCCACAGATATTGGATGCAAACTCAAAATTCTAATTCATGGTCACGCCTTCTATTTTATGCCAAGTTGCACATTTTCAAACACCACGGTGACATGATGATGCTAAATTACTTACACAAAAATTACATACAAGTGTGATATATCCAGTAATTACTCTACAAACTATAGCAGAAAAGCTGTAACTACACATTATGTCATTGTATTGTGCCAATTTTACTTTCTTTTTATTTACCCTAATTCAAGTGTGGTGCCAAATTAACTTGCAAAATCATGTCCCAAAACAAGCCAGCAAAAATTTGCATACTTCTGGCAAGTTTATATTAGACCGCACATGGTATAAACTGAATATATTTATACTTAAAATAACTTATTAATAATAGGTGTAATACATTTTGATTTTTACTAATAATGATTGTATAAGAAAATGCTTTGTCTCAAGATCTGTATGAAATTCCACATTTGTAATACAATTGAATATTTCATACCATGTATAGTTAATAGCATTAATTTTAATTTGATTCATTTCTTTTTTTTTTATTCACAATTTTTTTTACATACTAGGTATTTAGTACTCTATAATCTGTGTAATGTGTGTTAGTATAATAATCTTGAAAATTGCAGGAATGGACATGAAACAAGAATCTGTGATGTCTTTTTATTGTTGTGGGGGCTACTTTTCCAGATTGGCAACCAACAATTGGAATTTG